AGATTACTGTGAAGTCGAAGGATAAAGAAATCAAAACTCTGAGGGAGAAGATTCAGAAACTGGAAAGTGAGAAGAAGACATTGCAAACGAATTTAAAAGCTGTTCAAGTCGAACTGGATGCCGTGAAAAACGAGGTCGCCGAGATGAAGGATAAAAATACAACACTAAAGACGGATGTTGCCAAATTGTCGACAAGAGTGGATGAAGTCACCAAAGATCTCGACGAAAGTATGAGAGAAAAGTCGAATCTTGAAGAGAAAAATTCAACACTGGAGTTAACTGTCGAGAAATTGTCAAAGAAGGTGGATGGCATGACTGAAGATCTTGAAGAAAGCATAAGCGAAAATAGGTCTCTAAAGAAGGAAGTCGATGATCTACGAGAGAGTCTGGAAATGGCAAACAAGGTGCTAGCGGTTCCCGAGCGAATGGCTTTACCATTCATCCCCTCGGCTGATCCACTGATTAGTGCGTCTTTGGTCCTGGGTGAGTTATGCTGGCAAATTCAAGGAATGATGTACCAACATGTGTTTCCAAACTCTTATGACTCTAAGAAGAGTTACAAGATGAAACACATTGAGCAAGATATCGATGATCTTGAAGACGAGCAGCAAAGAAAAGAAGCGAAGAAGATATGGAGTGAGTTAAAAGAAAAGGTCAAATGTAAAAGGCAACACATAAGAGCTATGAAGTCTATCCAAGATGGCCGAAATGTGACGGCCCATCCCGTGATTGATGAAGTCCTCGTGGATACCTCGGTGAGAATCATGAATCAGGCAGGAAAGCTGGAAGACTGGCACTCGTTACCAATTGTCAATGAACTGATAGCAATGTGGAAGCAACTGGCACAATCGAAGTAAACCTAAGGAACTTAAATCAAAAGCAAGCAATTTTGAGCATAACCTTACCACATAATTACGTTGCTATTATTGTAATATTAGAGATATTCAGCTTATACGGGTTTGGCTTATATGAGACCAAAACATCAGGGTAATTCTCACACAGCCGATAATACAGGAGACCCTTTCTAAGGTTTCGCGTATGCACTTGTGTTTATCTTTGATGGAACTGTAATCTCCTGGAGAGTAAGTAGTTTCTTGTCTGTTAATTATCTACAATACGCGGTTTGAAAAATTGCCAATTTATATCTACAAAACCGTTAGAAACTGATTTTTTAGCGAGGCTTAATGCAAGTTTTCTAGTTACATTGCTATTCACGGAGAAATTAGCTCCTAAATGATAAAAAAATAATCTGATAAAATCAAAGGAAAGAAAGCCTTAGCATTTACATAAATGTTGTGCTACAAGTATGAGTAAAAGTTTTGCTCGAATGACCAGCTCCTTTCCAATGTTTCCAGTAGTTAAACCTTTTCTAGAGCTAATCTTTTAAATATATTCGCCTCACTGCTGCTTTTAATGATAACAAATTCGAGACCCATTTTCTACAGATTTGGGGTTGCTTTGAAATGCCATTGTAGAGGCATAATTTTTTGTGATCCGGCTGATAAACAACGAAATTCTATGAAATTGATAGGATCATCACAAGGATATCTGGTTCTCAGAAATTTGCCATGAACTTCCGTTTGCCGTTATCTAATAAAATATTCGAGGTAATACTTACATGTAAAACTATTTTTGGTCAATGGAGACAGAAAAAGAAAATTATATGTTACAGCAAAACTGAAGCCTGCTTGGCTTGATAATCTTCGGTTAAAGTAAAACAAAAAAAGCATTTTTAAGTCAAAATAAAAGGTAGGCGCTTTGATACGAGTCATCAGAAATGTGGAATCTAAAGAAAATGATACGAGGTTTGTCATTCCTTTATTATTTGCAGTAACCCCGATACATTCCTATTTAAAAGAAATAAAAATGCTGTTTTGTATACTTTTGCTATGAATGTTCTCAAGTAAATGGAAGCGTTCAAAGCAGTGGAATCGTTACCGCATTTTCTTTGCATTTTTCCGACAACCAAGCGGCGCTCTGTCCAGTCTTGTTTATAATTACTAAACATCCAGTATGAAAACCCTATACTTTCTTCCTCAGAAACAACCCGCTGCTAAAAGTTGAGGCCTCATTCAACTCCTCACCTATTCGTTGAAATACTCCATTTTAAATGCTGCGGAAAAAACCCAATGAATACACGTGCATGTCTATACCTTACAAGAGTGTGACCTATGTTGTTTGCTTTCGGATCCTGTTTCCGTAAACGGAAATGGACACAACGC